TGTTCTTAGCTGCTTCTATTATCAATCAATATGTTAAAATGGTTATGGAGGATTCTTACACTAGTGGTAGGAGTAAGTGGTTTAGTGAAATTGAATAAATTTTATTGAATTTTAATTTTTTTTAAATAACTTTGATAGTTCACTTATTTCATCCTCATCTATTATCTTAATTTCTTCTTCTATCAATTTTCTTATATTTATTATTTTCCTTGTCTCTAATTTTATTTGATCTTTAAATTTTGTTACTTCTTCTACAAATTTATTTATCATTTTATTATTTTTCTACTTAATTTTTATTTATTAAACCTTCTCTTATAAATTCTAAGTTTAAAATAAAATATTTTGGATTGGAAGTATAAAAACTTACTATCCAATCAATTGAATTTAAACTACTAAATAACACTGTTGAAATTGATTCATTTTTAAATAATTCTTCTACTGTTTTGACATCTCCTTTAAATTTATTAAGTGTATCTATAATACCCACTAATGTTGTTCTAATATCATATCCTAATGATTTACTAAAAAACAAATCTCTAAATGGGAAGTTTGCTTGAAGTGATTTGAATGGTCTTAGAAACTTATTAATTGATAAACTATATTGTGTTAATTTAATATTCAAGATATTAAATGATATAAAAATAGGTTGAAGTTTATATCTATTAGTACCATTATTGATCTTAAAATATAATCTCTCACAAATCATTTTATCCCAACTTTCTCTAAATGAACTACGATTAACTCCAAATCCTATACAGTGTAAATCTTTATGTTTACCTATTATTCCACTATCAATTTTATAAATATTTCTGTATAAATCATATTTATCAATTTTTATAACGTTTTGACATTTTGAGAATTCTTTAAATTCAAATTGTTTAATTTCATCAATTAACTTCTCTTGATTAATACAAAATTCATAAATCAATCTTAAAAGATCCTTAAAATTAGAAATATGATCTGTTAATGTCTTACTTAAACTATTCTTAGAAATTGATCCCTCATCTTTTATAATATCATTATCAATTATATAATCAATTGTATAATTAAATAATTTAAATATTAATTTAGGAAAGAATTTTTCTTTAAAGTCTCTAATATCACCCAAGTTACAAATTCCTTTATAACTACCAGTAATTTTAGGATCAACTAACACCACAGATGATATTTCAGTAGTAAAGATATTCATAGCAATAAAATCAAAATACTCATAATGATCAAGCATATGATTTAAAAAATCAACTAATGATTTATTACCTTCAATTCTATCAATAACATTTTTATAGTAAATTCTAGTATACTCAGGCATGGGATGATCATATAAATTAGTAAAATACTCATTATCATTATACTTTCTTGTATACTTGAATAAATAATCATTAAGAACATCTTCATAAAGTCTAAAAAGAACTGATAAAAGTTTATAAGAATCACCAACCATCAAATATCTAAATCTACCTTTAATTTTAGATTCTTCAACAACATTAATCTTTACAATTCTATCCCAATAAATAATCTTATTTAATAATACTTCTTCTACCTTATTTGACTTATAATGTTGAACAGCCTTAGACCAAGGAATGTAAGCATAGTGATTTTTAAGTAAAAAAATTAATGCATCTTTAATAAATGCTAATTTCAGTGATATATCAATTTGTTCTTTTGTAAAATTAAGTTTTTTAAATCTC